TTTGTTCACTGTGCATGCCATAAACTTAATTTAGTTGTAAGTAAATCATTCAATGTTCAGAGTGTTAGAAATGTTCTTGATCAAATCAAAGATATATCATATTTTTTTAACTTATCACCTAAACGTGCCAGCTGTCTTAATAAATTCATTTTTCCTGGTCAAGCAAAATTAATCGATACATGTCAAACTAGATGGGTTCAGAAACTTAAAGGTCTGGATGTTTTTTTTGATAACTACATATTCGTTTTTCATTCAATGGAAGAAATGGCATACAATGAAGGTAAGAGTTATAATATTGATACTTCTTCAAAAGCTTCATGTTTGTTAAATCTTATGACTAATTTTTCTTTTATTGTAAGTTTAGTTTTAACCAAACAAATAATGGACTATTTCTATGCCATCGCTGTTGTTCTTCAAACTAAAACGTTTGATATATCACAACAGTGTAATAAAATAAATTGTTTAAAAACTCAAATTTTAGATTAAAAAAAAAATATTGATGTCTATCATAACAAATAGTACTTAATTGCTCTTGATCTAGCTAAGACTCTTGATGTTTCAGAAGTTAAATCAAGGCTCTGTGGCAGACAAATTTATAGAAATAATTATCCCTCTGACACAATTTCAGATTATTTCAAATATTCCATCACATCTCCTCTTCTAGATCATTTAATTAATGAATTAGAAGATAGATATGATATGATGTAGAAAGAGTTTTGAATATTTTTTCTGTTTTAGAAGAACGACGCTTAGAGTTGGTTTTTACCTAATATTAATTTATTAATTTCTTTTTTATTTATTGACTATATTCTTGTATTTTAGTTTGTCTTATATTTAAGTTTATTTTATATTTCATGAAAATTAGAAAAAACAAAATAAAAAATAAAAACTTTTAAAAAAAAAATTGGCCTAACTGCCTATCAAGAAAAGGAAAAAATCCAAAAATGGAGGGCTAACCTAAGGTAATAATATTAATAATTTACATTAACTGCCTATCAAGAAGAGGTAAGAATCCAGAAATGGAGGACTAACCTAAGGCAAAAATACAATTACTTTACACTAACTGCCTATCAAGAAAAGGAAAGAATCCAGAAATGGAGGGCTAACCTAAAGCAACAATACAATTACTTTACACTGAAAACGTGTTTCAAAGTTTAAAAAAATACATATTCAAAAAAAAGCAAAAATAAGACAAAATATATAATAAGAACAGACTTACTAACAAATGTGTGCTTTGGTACGCGAGACCTTATAATTGAATTTAATGCTTCAAAGTAATGGCTGAAAGCAGTTGTTGCATGCAGTTTCAGCAATCAGTTCTTTAAGAATTATTTAAAGAAATTTAAGAAAAGTTAATAAAAACATATATATACATATATATATATATATATATATATATATATATATATATATATATATATATATATATATATATATACATATATATATATATATATATATATATATATATATATATATATATATATATATATATATATATATATATATATATATATATATATACATATATATATATATATATATATATATATATATATATATATATATATATATATATATATATATATATATATATATATATGGGCAATATATATATATATATATATATATATATATATATATATATATATATATATATATATATTGCCCATATATATATATTGCCCATATATATATATATATATATATATATATATATATATATATATATATATATATATATATATATGTATGTATATATATGTTTTTATTAACTTTTCTTAAATTTCTTTAAATAATTCTTAAAGAACTGATTGCTGAAACTGCATTTAAGCTATTAAAAATAAACCGAAAATGGAAATAACTTGACACTTTCCAGAAATGTGAAATGCTATCATATAATTTAGTATGTAAAAGTTACAGCATTTAAGTCTACAATTTGTTTCAAGAATTAACTCTACGTAGCGTGGCGGTCGTAACGCTTACTTTTTACCACTTGTGAACAAAACAACTTTGTCAGACAAACGGCATGGTAAATTCATTTGAGGTCATTTCATATAATTTAAAGTTAATTCAAGGAAAACACTGACACATGTTTTGCTGTGATAATTTTTATCTGTTAAATCTTTTCAAATCTTTACCATAAACAGCAACTGTGGAGATTGTTATTTGAGATGACTCCAATAAGCACTTTGAACTTGTTCTTGATGAGTACAGCAATAGTTTTGACTAAAATCAAAGTGTATAAATAATTCACCATCCATAATATTATATATTTGGTGGCGATAATCAGACGCTTGGTGACGTTTAATTAAATGTTGAATCCGAAATTGAGGTAGCGTTTTCAAAAGCTCTGTGTGTGTTGCATACAAAGACTGTTTCATCAATCTCTTCTGTAGACGATTTTCAACCTTGTCTTTGTACCAATTTATGTAACTGACTTCAATGCATTCTTCGTTTTGCTCTTTGGATGATGGTAGCATTCGGTTGTTAGAACAGTTAGCACAAAAACTACATGACAGTAAGAGGCAATCTGGAGTGAGAGGGCTGCAAAGAATCCATTTGCTTACCCAGTTTTTGTTATAAAGTTCAAAATTAAGGTTTGAGGGCAAAGCGTTGCATATATTAATAAAACTTTCATAAATTAGACAACACTAGGTTTCAAGAGGCGTTTCTGAACCTGTGAGTATTTGAGCTAGACAAAGTGCACAAAACTTGAAAATTTTTATTATGCTACCAAATTCTTCTGCGTACAAGGCATAACATTCCCTTAATTTAAGTAACAAGTAACGTTTTTGAAATTTTTCACCATCAATTTTTATAAAGTTTTTCATACCTAGAGCCCATCGAGATATTTCTTTGCGGTTGTAAAACTCTAGTACATGATTGAATACACTAGAAGATAAACGGATGTGTTTTTTTATCTTTTGATATATATGGTAAAGAGATGTTTATTTATATTGCTAATTGTTTAATGACATAATCTGCTTTTCGTGGCGACTTTGGTAAAGCCAATTTAATGCGGTTCACAGCACGCACTTCTGACAAACTTGAATGACATTTTACTAGAAGAAGAACAAGGAATATTAATGATACCTTGAGTTTTTTTGAAGTTTTCTGTGTTTACGCTGTCGTAACTTAGCAAGCTCTTTATTTTTCAATTCTTGCTCTGACGTTGATTGTTAGCGACGAATTTTACTTCGTTCTTTTTCTATTTCTTTTAATTCAGTTTTCTTTCTTTCTCTATAATCTTTACAAACTTGTTTGTGCGATTTGGGCATTGTTTTACTATTTATATGTTTCCTGTATTTTTATGTAGAATATGTCAAATAAGTTATATTTTAAATTAGCTCATAACCTTTAAATACAAAGTTATATCAATTGTATAAATTACTCTTTCTAACATGTGTTTTAATTAAGGTTTTCCGAATTAAATCTTCTTCTTTGGCGCATTTGAACATCTTTACGATGCATTTAAATATCGAAACGACGCATTTGAACATCGAAACGACGCATTTAAACATCGAAACATCCGTTACGTTGCGGTCGTGCAAAATAGAATTTACATTTTACTTTTTTCCAGACAAGGATATTATAATTTTTTTTTTACATATATATTTATTTCAACTACATTGCTTTTGCTAAAAATTTTCAAATTAAAAAAAATTAAATTTAGGTTGTATAAAAAAACTAAATTTGTTATAATAGTCGCGGTTGTGGCTGTGAAAAACGCCTTTTTTCTTTTTAGTAACATACCAACTAATAATTGAAATAATAATAATATCACTTATTAACAAACTTATTTAATCACTAATATTTATTTGAGAATTAAAAATTAAAAAAAATAAATGAAAGACGTTTAACAAAACTCCATGTTAAGAAATCCATGTTTTTTATATCATAAAATATTAAAAATGGCTACCAAATTTTAAACATCTCCTACACATGCATAAAAATAAATGACGAAGTGAAGATATTTTTTTTAGAGATCCTGCCAATAGTAATTTTGCCGAATACCGAATACCGAATATTCGGGTTGACCCTCTGCCGAATAGCGGTAACACTTAAAAAATTTCATGGGTGACAGTTATAATATATATATATATATATATATATATATATATATATATATATATATATATATATATATATATATATATATATATATATATATATATATATATATATATATATATATATATATATATATATATATATATATATATGCAATTCATTTATTTACAAGTTCGATAATTTATTTAAAATTAAAGGCCTTAAGTATACTTTTTTAAAAACCGCATAAATACATTAACAATAAATTATCCTTAAAAAACTATTTAAATTGAAAAGTCAGTTTAGTTAACATAAAAGACTATGTATTCGAATGTCGATTGTTGCTTGCAACTTTTGTTACTTATTGTAGTATTTTCTACAATAAGTAACAAAAGTTGTATTATTTTAAATTTTTGTTTCCAAAAAGCTTAAAAAATAGCATCTTTTAATAAAAAATCACCTATTTGGAAATATTATGAAATTTGTTGGGAAGACAATAAACTAGCAGTTTGTTTGCTGTGTAAGATCTCGCGTGGTGGAGAAGGAAAGCAAGTTAGTAAAGCTGTTGCGTATATTATAACTAATTAAAATGTTTTAATAAATTAAATTAGTTACGCTGGTAATTAATTTGTTCCAACTTTTTTTTCACAGTAGGTATTTTATATACTCTGGGTTAAGTATAAGTACTTTTTTTTGTTTCCAGCTACAACTTCTCTGAAGAACCACCTTTAAAACAAGCATTCTGAGCAGTACGCTAAGTTAACTGAAACTCCGCCGGCAAAAGGAAGCAAAAGTGACGATTTACTAACTTATACCGACTCTAGAATACCAGCAGTAACAGGTATGTTAAAAAAGAAACAGTTAGCTCTTAAAGAGACAGCTGAAAGAAAAACGTGTTATATGCTAATGATCCAAAATCAATAAAATATCATTATTTAATTGGAAAAATGATTGCCTTAGACAACGAACCATTATCACTTGTTGAACGAGTTGGCTTCAACAAGCTTATGGAAAAGGCAGTACCGCAATACAAATTACCTTGTCGCCCCTACATGACTAAGAAAGTTATCCCCGACATATATAATAGAATTTGCACTAAAATTAAAGCTAGTATTTTACAAGCAACAGCAGTATCCGTGGCATCTGATATGTGGACATGTCAGCAAAACAGCCAAAGTTTCTTAAGTTTTACTGCGCATTGGATATCTCCATATTTTATTCTTGAACATTCTATTTTAGCGATGAAGCCGTTTTCTGGTTCACATACTGGTTTCAATATCGCAAAAAAACTCAATACTATTGCAGAAAGATGGGGGATTTCACATAGCAAGATTCATTTTCTTGTCCATGACAGTGGAGCCAATATGATAAAAGATGTAAAAGATGCAGAATATGATTCTGCTAAGTGTTTTGCTCATTTACTACAACTGGCTGTCAATGTATCGCTAAATTCTCAAATAGAAATAACACAGATGATAGCTGCTGCAAGACGAATTGTCACCCATTTTAACCACTCTTGTATAGCGCAAGAAAAGCTAAAATGCGTTCGTTAAGAACTTAAACTGCCAGAACACCAACTAATTAGTAAGCACACGCTGGAATTCAACATACTATTTATTGGAGCGATTACTAGAGCAAAAGCTAGCTGTCTCATTGTATATAACTGATCATGATTCTTTAAACAATTTAACAATTGCTCAATGGAATTAATGGAACAATGTATCAAACTTCTCAAACCGTTTGAAGAAATTACAAAAGTAACTAGCTCGGGTATTTCTTGCATTTCTGAGGTAATTCCACATGTTGTCGCGTTGTTAAAATACCCGGGAAAAGAAGAGACAGCACAGAGAACACCAAATTTATCAACAATGAGATCTTTACTTCAATCTGAACTTGAAGCGCGGTTTAACTTTAACAAAAATGAAAAATATCTGGTTGCAACTTTTCTTGACCCACGCTTTAAAACTAACTTCTTGGGTATAGTAAAAACACAAAGAACAAATCAAAAAAATGAAAAAAAGTTTTGAAACGTTTTGTAGCACCAATGATGACTCATCTCCATTTCGAAAGAAAAAAGATGTCGATGAAAATGATAAAACAATTGAGATACACAATAGTTTCTGAAATTGTTTTGAGGAAGTTGCTAGATAAAACTCGCACACAGATGAAGATGTTGAACAGAAAAGTTCAACAGAAAATGAAATTGATTTATTTACGAAAACTGTTCGTCTAGATCGGAAAGCAGACCCTTACGTGGTGGTCAGTTAATGCTAAACAATATCTGAGCTCAGCCGAATTTCCTAAGATTTACCTATCATTTCCAGGTAGTAGTGTATATAGTGAACGGCTATTTTTTAAAGCAGGTATAGTTTACGAGGAAAAGCGAAATTGTTTGCTATCAACAAATGCCAAAAAAATTATTTTCATTCATCATAATTTACCACTGATAAATTTTAAGTATTTAAATAAAAAAAATTTGTGATTAATAGAATCTTATATATATAACATATTTATTATTCTGTTTATTATGATTAATCTGTTTATTGTATTATTATAGGTATACTTAGTAATTTAATCCATTTCTAATGCAATTGTTTTCATTTTTCAGTATTCGGTGTTCGGCCGAATATTGGAAACTACTCGGCCGAATACCGAATAGTGTAAAATGTTGTCGAATACACCAAAAGCGAATAGTTGCCGAATATTCGTCGCATCTCTACTATAAATTTGTATTCGTTAAATAGAACTCTGATTTTCAAATTTTATGGAAAGTTTATTTAGAACAACAGTTCTCTAATATATTCATTACAAAACTGCTCAAACATTTTTATTTTTTTTGGGGGGGGTGCAAAGGAAAAAAGCTAACTTTACAGACAAGGGCTTTTTTTTTTTTTAAGAAGCCAAATATCAGTTCTAACCGACAGAGTCCCAAATCTTCCAATTTTCCGACAAAAACCGACAGAATTTTGTAAATCTGGTAGGGATGGGATATTTTTGTTTGTTTTTTAGATAAAAAATAACAAAACAGAAATGCGATTTAGTAGTTTATGTTTTCATTTTTTATATAATTTTAGTATACATTTGTAAGTCTCACTATTAGGTTTTAATTTTTTTTCTCTTTCAGCCCACCTTGAAAAAATTTTTAGTAAGAAATATTAAAATTTACTTTTATTAGTTTGACTTATTTTTTATTAGTTTGACTTATATTAGTTTAGTTTTACTATTGATGGAATTACTAGTTACTTTTACTGGTTGTCTTTCTTCTATTGTTGGTTATTAGCTGTTTGCATATTTTTTTAGATGAGCTATCGAAGCACATTAGTAAGTAAAACGAATATTTATGATTTGTATAGTTACGAGTATTTTGAGATTTTAGAGAGTTAGTAAATCGAAATGATTAAAAGAAAAATTTAAAGTTACCGCAGGTGTTGTGACTTGCAAAAAGGTATATCAAATGATGAAATTTGCAAAATAGATATCGCAGGTGTTGTGACAAAAATACTAAAAAAAGGAAATAAACACAACACAAATGAATAGATAATTTTTAGCATAAGTTTTTAATAATAATTTTTAGACATTTTATAACGACACAAATAGTTATAAAATTGCATCATTCTTTTATTTTAGTTTAGAAATATGAATTTTTGGATTATTTTGAGTTATGATAGTTGCATTTAAATTTTGTTTTAGTAGCTTTAGCGCACATTAAAAGCAATTAATTTTTTTTTTAGGGGTTAGATCAAAGGCGGAGGGGGATGAGTATATAAGTATATATATATATATATATATATATATATATATATATATATATATATATATATATATATATATATATATATATATATATATATATATATATATATATATATATATATATATATATATATATATATATATATATATATATATATATACTATACATAATATAAAATTTTAATTAAAAAAAAAAAAACTGTTTTAAAATTGTCGGGAGTTGTAGGTAACAGTTGCTTTAAGTACGCTTTGTGGATAGTCTTTAAGGCTTCTAGAAACTTTGTATCCACTTTTTCAAAACTGTTTAAAATCATTATGAACCGGTCTGGTCAGACCAAAAATCTAACTCTTTACTTGGATTGGAATTTGTTATAAGCGAAAAAAATTCACACGTATACTTGATAAGAGCATGTAGTTTAGGTGATACTCGCAGGTTAAGTTTAACATAAGCATCTTTGTACTCATTAATGGTTGACTAATATTTAGGTAACAAACTAGAACTAAGACATACAACATTAACAGATTTTAAATATTTAAAGGAATTAACTATAGAAATGATATTTTTATTTTTTTCCAGTTTAGAAGACTTTATTAATTCTTTTAACATATGAATATTTCTACCTTTAAATTGACAACTATGCAGCTTTAAAAACCTAAAATTTGGTTCTACTGGTTTGCCATTAAAAAAGCACCCATAGATTGCAAATATATAAAGATTATCATAAATTCTGTTTGTATTTCCAGAAAGGAGATAAAGTTCCATTGAAGCAAGGGTTTTAATAACTTTTACATCTTCAGGTAGATTACCTAGTGGAAGGTTTACGTCATAAATATAAGATGCAGCTAAAAGGTTGGATTTTTTGTAAATTATTACTGGAAGTTTTTTAAGCATTCGAATATAATCTTTTAAAATTTTTCTCTCCTTTATTACTGTCTCAACAAGTCCTTTAATTTTTTTACAAAAAAAAAAAAAAATAATTACAATAAAAACTTCTGTATAACTTTCATCATTTTTTAAATACGCTCATTATTTGTCCATTGTTATGAAAAACTGTTGTAAAAAAATCATGTAAATTAAAAAACTGATCACTTTAATATTTTCATATATGAATTATATATGTATGTATTATAGATGTATGTATGTAAATATATATATATATATATATATATATATATATATATATATATATATATATATATATATATATATATATATATATATATATATATATATATATATATATATATATATATATATATATATATATATATATATATATATCGCTTTGAAAATGTCGGGAGTTGTAGGTAATTGTAAAACATTTTTATTTGATAACAGTATCAGTATTACAAATTTTAAAGTTTGTATCATCTCTAGAAGTTACCTATCTTGAACACAAAAAATCCATAACCTGCCCTTTTAACCCTGTTCAAAGTATCGTACATTTTTTTTTCAAATAAATTTTTCCGCTACAGTGTGCCTATGAAAGAAAGCAAAGTACATAGATGCTCTTAAAAATAAATATACTGAAAACATGTCTGTGACTTATAATGGGCTGAGCAAAAAGAATTAGTTAATTCCGCTCAAGTCCGCTAAATTCTGCAAGGAAGCGTTGCAACCAAATAAAGATTCGCTTGTTCTACACATTAATAGAGCTAATTATGAAGCTTTTCAGAAAACGATCACATGTAGCAGTGAATAACTCACCTAGTCCTTTTGGGAATGGCTGCTTTAATGATCAAGGTTCAATTACCATATCTTGGTTAGAATTGCCTGCTGCACCAAATTCGGCGCTTGATTTTGTTCACTGTTATTGCCGTGGTTGTTCCACTTTACAAATGTAAATTATGGTGATAACCATCAAAAAGTGGATGATGACAACCAATAAAATGGATTATATGAGTCTGAGTCTGATAATGATAGCAACTTAGATTAGATTAATAAATTGTAATAAAAATCATTTGTTATTTAATATTTTTTTGATTTTGAATTGCAAGATAAACATCAGTGGCAGAAGTATATATAGAAAATTTAGTTAACAATAATATTTCTGTTTTAATTACAGTCCTTTTTTGAAAACATTGCATAAAAATGGCATATGGCAAGTCTCCTAAGAAAACAGTTCAAAAATAAATAGGTCTAGAATCTAGGTTACCTATATCAAAAAGTATTCAAATTTTAAGGTACTTTTGATTTTTAGCTAAAAAATATACAAACTAAATTTGAAATCAAAATTATTATTTATTTGGGCATAATTAAGAAAGAAAAGTCATTTTTATTTTTTAATAGAAACCACCCTGGTTATAACTATAGGATGGTTTCTATATAAAACAAAGCTATGAAACTATTTGGTTAATGGGACCATAAAAATCTGTGAACTTTTTTTTGGTGATTAGTTTGTTTAGATATTTAGATTAGATTGTCAAGAAAACTTTTTCGAAACTTAGTTACTAAATGTGTATAATGAACGTCTTTTTTTTAAAGGCTTTTTCAGCAACAGACGCCAGCCTAATAGTAAATAGATTTCAATAACAGGTAAAAAGTGAAATATCTGGTTTACCAGTCCTCATTTATAAAGTTTTTTTTACCCATAATGCTTTTAAAGATTTTATCTGTAATGATTTTTAAAATATATGCGTTTTTGAATTACACAATTGTTTAGAGAGTTTATTTCAAACGAGAGAGATCAAAATTAAGTGTTTTTTTTATTCTAACAGAAATTTATTTCTACTGGCTAAGATTATAATACTATTTTTGTAAGTCTATATATAATATGAATGATCTTCAAGACCTGTCTTTGATGTCTATATAAAGATTCGTCAGAGACAAAACATCACAGGTGTTTTGTCTTCAACGAATAAACGAAACTCTTAGCCACATTCTTGTAAATTATTATACTTATTGTAATATTAGCGCTGTCAACTTACTAAATCTAGAGTAAAGAAGGAAACTAATAATTTAGCCCTACGTATTTAAGTTAAAAAAAATGATACATATGGCGTCCATAGAATTACTAATTCCTAAGAATAATGCGGAGAGTTACCTTTAATATGAACTATTTTACTTCAATAGACTTTAAATATTTTTTTTAAAAGGTAATTTTAAAATAGAAAAATTGCTTCCATTAGCACTAAATATATTTTGTTATATGTATCAAATATATTTGTATTAGTATACAAAACTTTCTTTATTTTTAAATTTTTAATATAATTGTTATTTTATTATTTGACAAAAGTTATGCACTCTTTAACGTTTTTTTGTATATTTTATTCATATTTGTTTATAAACACGGATATTTTGTAAACGGGGCTCGGTGATAAGACAGTCATTGTCTTCTTCTTGCTCCGGCCAATTTTTATAAATGTAATATGTCTTTATTGTAAATATATGAAACGGCAAAAAAAAAAAAAAAACTATCACCGTATCCAACATTCTTATTTAAAAGAATGTCATTAGATACGCGCGAAAATCAATCTTAAAATCGTTCATACTTAGCAACGTATCACCAAGAACCTGTATCACAAAAGATTGCTGACAGTGACTCATTATTGCAGTGATACAATTGGAAGAAGAACGAGTTATTTAGAGAGATCTTTTAATAGTACATCAACTTATAATTTGACATAATTTTTTTTGACGGTTATCTATTGCCACGAAAGATTGTACCCACCAGAAGCAATCTAGTAAAGGCCGTTTTCCACAAGACAAAGTATTCGCGCGAAACGAATTTTTTCGCTATGACGAAACGCTGTTTTGATTTCCACTTTCTTTCGCGCTCCTTTTTTTTCATTGTAAGCAATAAAAATAGCAGCCATAAGTTTACGCTGTATGTTCAACTAAAGACAGTTATTACTTTTTTAGCATACTTTCTACTTTGAAGCATGTGAAAATTTCTTTCCGTGCATTAATAATAACATTTCTGTCTTTATATGTAAGATGTGATATCATTTTGTAAAATAATCGGTTTTTTTTACAAAAAAGTATAAGAAAATAAATGATAAACTCTGATATGATCATTTCTATTAAAAATTGTTACTGCAAGAAACGAACAGCAGGTTTAACTCTATTTAGGGTTTTACACAAAAAGGTTTATCTTTGTGTGGCCAATTGAAGATAAACACTCTTATGAAGTGTAACTTTCGTAATTGACAGTGTGAAAACTTATATTTGTAAACTCTCGATTTAGTTTTATATATAAGTCTTGTCATTTTTTATATGTCTTGCTCCTTATTTGATGAATTTACTCATGCTTGCCAATTTTCAGAGTAAGTTCAAATAAAATTAATAATAACGCCAGGTTAAGAATTTTTTTTTGTTACTTTAAAAACAACATTTCGCTTTTTTTTTACTGTTGACATCACGTGATATAATATTCAAAACTTGATTGGTTTTCGCTTATGGGGATTCGCAAAAAGTCGAAATGAATCCGATTTTTTTTTTTGCTGAAGCGAAACGCTGTAGCGGAATAACTGCCAAAAATGTTTAATCTGCGCATGCTCATCGACGAAAAAATTCGCTTTGCGCGAATATTTCGTCATGTGGAAAACGGCCTTAAGATATCGCAAACTACCAGCCAGAAACCAGCAGAACTAAGTATTTTTCTGAATAACTACAAAAATAAAAAAAAATTCAGCCTATCGGCATTGAAAACTATTGGTTTCAAAGTTATTTATTGTCCAAGTGATGCAGACACGTCAACTTAAAGAAAACGCTTAAGACTGACAACATCGAGTTCCTTACAATTTACACTGATATTTTATGTCTTTTGATGCCAGAACACAACCTCATGAGATCATTTTGAAAACGTTGACACAAAATAAAGCTACAAATTATAGAGTCTAGGTGGGTTTTTGCTCCTTCGTTTTTCTACGGGAATGGGATAGGGAAAGAAAAAAATATTCATGTGAGCATGCGTAGTCTTTGGTATATTTAAATTATCTCAAGATCACTTTAAAGTTTTTTTTTGTTGTTATAAAAAGCCACAAAGGATATACTTATAATCCCCCACAAAATAGTTTCAAGCTGCCAACAAAAAAACTGTTGAAGCATACAAGTTTATTAGGTTCTTCTCAGGCCAATTGCATCGACTGGGCACTATCAATATTTTCAGCAATGAGTTTTTCAAAATATATATAAAAAAAAGCAATTGATCATTAGCTTATTGAAGATTTTGAGGTGGAAACAAATTGAGATGACCACAAATATGCTGTAAATAGGTCAAGTCATTCAAAAAGTTTATCATAATATGTGTGTGATATTGTTAAATATATTACAGGATTTGTTATAAAAAAAAGTGTTAGATTGTGACATTTGCTTAACCTTTATTTAATCCTACTTCACCATTGATATTTAAAAAAATACAGTGGTATTAAACCATGCTTGCTTTAACCCTTGAAAGATGTTAAGTTGCAGAAAGCGAAATCAGAATTTAAAGAAAAGATTATTTCAAAAAAATTTAATGACAAATTTAATTATTGATATTTTTACCAGTGTTTGCATTTCTATTTTTATTTATAACAGAGAACACATGTTTAATAATGATGTTCAATCTAATTTAGCAAATTTAGTCAAAATGATTAGTTTTATTATTGTAACCTTAGATTATAAAAATAAGGAGAGAATTTAAAAAAATATTGAAAAAAAAAAAAACTTTTAAGTAAATTAACTTAAAGTATTTTATTCTGTAGTCAATAAGTTTTTTTTGTGGTATAAAATTTTTTGTTAATTTTACCGACTTTTCAAACCTATTCTTTTTTATTAAATTAAGTATAAAAAGTTATAGCTTTACAAAATAGTTTTATAGAAGCAACTTAGATATGCTTTACCAGAAAATAGCCCCAAAATTATATTCCTTTTGTTTTTTTTTATGAGAAATGACCTAACCTTTTTATAATAAAAACCTACATTATTTGCATTTTTGCCACAAAGTGACGTATACATATTCACTTTAAGCATGCATATGCGTCACTATGTATGCTTATACGTAAGCGCAAAAAGTTTAGCTTCAATCGATTTCAAAAAGCCGCGATCTTCAACTTTAATCGACAAATAAACAACGGTTAACGAATAAACAACGGCTTCTTGTTTTGCAATATTTTAGTTAAAGAGAATAAACTGATTAGGTGGTTTAAAGTAAGCATAGGTCCAATGGAAACGTTTAACAAGTTGATTTTTATTCACGATCAAATTTATAGATTCAACTTTTTCTTCTCCCAATAAACCATTATCATATTAGTCATAGTAGTCGCTTTTTGGTCCGTTGTGAATATTCGCATAAAGAATGTTACGTAGTGAATTTGAACGCAACAACGTTTTCCAAAATAGCACAAATGTAATAGCATTTAAAGGCAAAAGAACTTCAAAGTCATTTATCGTAAAAAATCTCTGATAATAAACCAAATAAAATAAATAATATACAATAATATACTTCCATTATAGAATTTTTAAATTATCGTCATAAGTATTGTCAAATAATACATACAAATGTCTACAAAGCGTGGTCAAATTTAATGACAAGACCTCCTTTTTAAACAAAATATCAACATGATCCTTGTTGTTCAAAATACAACTTTTTGCTATTTGAAACTAGTAATTAATAAATGTAAAATCTAGTCTGCAACTTAAAAACGAAAAAAAGAAATCCAGAAAAAAAAAACTGGCCTGCCAGTCAACTATTTCCTTTTTTTTACAAAACAATAAACGCAAACGCAAAGAAGATAAAATTAAAGAACATAGTAAAAAAAAAAAGGATTAAATAAAACGTTTTTTAGTCTGGTTTGAACAAGGCAACCTTTGGACGAAACTCGACAAGTAATACCTAAACGTAAATACCAAATTTATTTAATTTTTCGTAATAAAAATGTTTATAAGTAGCAAATATTTAAAGAAAAGTAATAACAACTGCTTACATATTCCATCATATTACCAGAAACCACCATTTGCTTTTTTAACTTCAAATGTAAGCCGAGCTAATGAAATAAAAATGTTCAAAATAAATTTTACTACTCGGTGTAGTTAAGGCAATTTACAAATTATTTCGAATTCTTTTATTTGGAATTAACATGATTTTATCAGCGTATTATGTCCAACAAAATCTTTAAATGTTATAATTTTTTTTGCTTCGAGTTTATTTTAATATTTAAAGAAACTTTTCTTTTTTTATATAATTTTCAAAACTTTTTTACTACCCCAAATAGTGAATCTGAAGAACATCATTTTAGAGTCTTTAGATCACTTTCGGTCATCGGCGTTAACATGAATTTAGTTAAAATCTTTTAAAAAAGTGCTTTAACCCACTATAGATCCTAGTTTTAATAGATTCAGGCGTATATTAACTATATATAGTTGTCAAAATACAACATTTCTATTAATTGAAAAAAAAAAAAAACTAGAATTCCGACCAACAAAGAGCTTATAACTAAGAAAAATTGTCAATAAACGATCAGAACAGATCATATTATTAAACTATGGTGTTCATTTCAACTAAACAACGTATTTTAAATCTTATTCAAATTTGGACAAGCGATTGTTATTTTAAGATTTTTTTTTTAAATGGAATCTTCGGTCTGGGATTTTTCACTACAAACATTTATATTTTATGATACCATAAAATTTATAAATTTAACTTTTTTCGTCTTTTCATAATTCACAGACTTGATTATTTAACGGAAATATGTCGTAATGAACAAAATATCACACAGACGCAATAATACTTTAATGAAGTCAATGAAATAATAGTTAATGAAAATAAAGACTATTTTGAAAAAAGAAAGAAGAAAAATTACATTAATAATTTGGGTGTGGAACTTGTAAAATAACTGGAAGGATGCAATAGCACGCCCTTTTAATCTAACGATAAGTTTGACTTCACATAGGGTAATGAGATTATTTTAATTTTTTTTTAAATAAATGATGAACTTATGCTTTTAATTTTTTGAAACAACTTTTATTTTATTTATATCACTTTTTTAAAATCATGCACCTAACAAGGTGTTGAAATCAGTATATGGTATCATTATAAAAATATTCATTTGTTTACAAGTCATTTATTAAAAAATATGTCAATATAACGTGCAGTATCATAATTACTATTGATGAATATGCTGTTAAGATATTTGTCATTTTTACTGTGAAGCTTGATGGTTTCTAAACCCAGTCATAGGATAAACTTTCTATGACCTTAGAACAGTTCAATTTAAAGACAACAGCATACAGCTGATTGAGTCCTACTACCGATTGTAACCATCAAGAAAAGATTTAGCTTTTGTCCACAGTTTTTATAATCATCCTATCTGCGTCTACAAAATTTTAGTTGATATATTCGAGTGTGTTAGCAATGTTTTCAAATGTTTTTCGCTTGGTAGGTGAATCGTGTAAAAACTGCCAAATCGATTTCAGAAGATTTTTCTTTTCCCAGCCACTCGCTTTTGCCCCATCTTTCAAGCTTCCATGAATAATGTGGAGACCACGTGTCTCTAGATCAATAAGGGGACCTTTTGTCTTTGTTCACTTAATATTTTTTTAGAAATAATACTTTTTTAGAAAGTTGACATTGGGACCATCTGAAGATACTTAATAAATCTTTGCTTTATTAATTTCTGACACACCCCTAAGAAAAATATTTAAAACATCCTCAGCAATGGAACCTCCTTATAAACTTTGAACTAAGATAACAAGTGACATAATTTTCTTCTAAAAACCTGACTAATAGGTCCATTTGTCCTTTTTGCAGTATTTGTTCAATGAAATAGTGTTGTATGGAACAGTTGAAAGTGTTAAAAATAGCTCACTTATAATAATAAAAATGCGAAAAACACGGAGATACATATGTAGCCACATACTCAGCCTTTGTTCTAACCCATTGGAATGCGTTTGCAATACCAATATTTGGAAACATTTTTCTGAATACTTTACCAGAATTTGACAAAGTATCCTAGAGTAAATGGTATTTAAAACCCAGCATATCTCAGCTTTAAGTCTTGCTGACCTTTTTTTCTTCTTCTTGCTAATCATTTTTGATTTAATTGATTGAGATTCAGATTCAGTAGTTTAAGGTGATACTAATGATTTAACAGTTTGTTCACAAGGCTTTCTTTGTATGTTCTTTTTGCTTCTCATGAGATGTCAATGCAGCCTCTCTCTTGTTAGAAACATTAATTTCATAAAAGCAATAAAAACACTTAGCTGCATCTTCTGAACCCAAGGTTTCAAGTGATCATTGTTAGAATTGCGACTCAAAAACAACCAACAACAACAAAAAAAAAAACAGAGCACTCCTAAAAACATGTTTTTTATGATTTCTTTTTTTTTTTTGTATTCTTTAAATTTTAGATATTAATAAACCTTGAAACAGATCCATATCAAATAAACTTTGAAATAAACATGTTTTTTTATTTAATATAATGTTTATTACCCTATGTATAACCTATAACCACTTACACATCAATGTTAAAAAAAACTCTGCAAAATATAAGAAAAATATTTTGTAAAGTTACTATTTTATAATACTATTGTATTAACTTTTAAACATAGTTTAGGTATGTCCATTAGTTGCTTTAGTAAAATAGGGGAGAGAAGTCAGTAAATTTTTGACAATTGTTAACAAGGGTAAGGGGAAAGTCAAGAAAAATTGATGTTACTTTTTAAAATAAATTAAATCATGAAAAAAACAACAACTAAAAAGATGTTTTCTTCCATTTGATTTTCTTTATGTAGGGGGAGAAGGGAGGAGGTAAAAAGAGTAGTAAAATGTTGACATATTACAACTGAAAGCACAACTTGTACAAAACTGCACAGAAAGAAACAACTTGCTCACCAAACTGTGTTGTCAAAAACGCTTTAACCCAAAATGCGGTGGAAATTTGTCGGTTGTAAATTTGTTAACCATGAATAAACCAAACAAACAAAAATATTGACAACTTGATTATAGTAGACACTGTATTTAAGAACGAAATTTGAATCAAATATATCCAAATATCCGAACATAAAAATTTTGAGAAAGATGAACAATAAAAGATGTTAGGTTATTAAAAATTAATTAGTAATTCAGAATTAAAAAGTAAATTAAAAAGTAATTCAGAAAAAGTTTCTATAAACCATTTTTCCTTTACAAAAATAGCGTTAAACTCACGTACAGCAATTTTGATTTCAAAAAAATCTTCTGGGAGTCAAAACTCTCGTCGGGGAATGGGCTTCTACATCAACATGGCAAAGGGGTAAAATCAGTCCTTGATTATCAAATGACAAAGTGTTAAAATTATTTTTTATTTCTCATAATTTAGATTGAAAATCAAATATGTGATGCAGAATAATCTATGACTCTAAGACAAAGACAAGAATTTATTCTGGGCAGTGTTACTGAACAGAGTTACTGAACCAACATTACTTAACACTCTGTATGTTAAGTAAGGTTGGTTCAGTAACCTGTTGTTTAAAAATAATTTCAATTATTTTCAGAAAATTATTCAAAATTTTGTATAAATTGTTGACATTATAAAAAACTTCAATATAGCTAAATGCTATATTGAATTTTTATAATGTCAACAATTTTTAGGTTTTTTTAATTTAAAAAATCAAAAATTCAAAAATTCAAAAAAAAAAAAGTGGTAAAAAAAAACCGGTTGTTTTTGCAACTCAAACCATCATACAACAATTTTTTCTTGAAACACACTCATTCTTGAGAAATTTTAAAATCTATTACATTAAAATTTTAAAATCATTTTAAAAGTATCTAAGTGTAGTTTTACTAACTGACTGCAAATTAAATTAGAAAAACTGAAAACACAAAACTAATGTTAGTACTATTTAAAACATAAAATAAAAAACATTCTAAAAACTATTTAACCATATATTTCTGATTGTCTTTCAATCAATGATATTTACATATAGTTAATTAAATAATATAAATATTTTGTTCATAATATATAATAAAGATAATAATATTGTTAATATTTACATTATATAATAGCAACAGCAAAACTAACAATATATTAAATACCAAAAATAAAACATCAGTAAATCACTGATTGGAACAAAAAACTTACTTGTATTAAAAACAATTTTTCTAATAAATCTAAATCACATTTCTTAGAAAAAAAGGTTTAATTTACTAGACTCATTTGTAGCATTATGAACTAAATAAGATAAATATGTTTATCCTAAAATTGAATCCTAAAATCCTTCTCATTTACTGTTCCTATCCTAAAATCCTTCTCATTTACTGTTACTCTAAAATCATTACTACATATCTCAAAATATGCAACTTTGTGGTTTCAATGCTTTTTAATTTTAATTTACCATATGCATCTTTTGTTAAAACCAAAAAATTTTACCAATGAAAAAAAATAATTAATTTCGGAGTTGAATTGAACTTTGAGTTTTTATAAATATGAGTTTTTAATCATAGAATAAATTCAGTTATATCAAATGCTAATATAAAAATTTCATAACAATTGTTTATAAACTGAGAGTAGTTTCTTTTGAAAATTTTATCTCTACAAGAGACTTCACCAGAAGTAACAAACAGTGTATATATTGAATAAAATTTTTTAAACCATGTTTATACAGGTGAGAAAGAAAATATGCTTCAGGACTATAAAAACAGAGCTCGAAATAATGAACTTTTTTATTCCGGACAATTTGTCCGATAAATTCTCAAGTTTGGCGGACATGTCCGATAAAAACTTAAGAAATTCGATCGAACCCCATTCTTGACCACGCCTAAAAAATTTCGTTTTTACAACCTGACTTATCTAAAAAAAGAAAATCTTAAAGAAAAAATCAAAACTCAAAAAACTAAAACTTGAAAAAGAAAATATATTTATATAAAAATATTATAAATATAAATATATTTTTAAAAACTACTATACTATTCAAAATGCTTTGTAAATTATGATAAATATAATAAATACATAAATAATTATGTTTACTTATTATTTTATTAAATAAACTAACAAATTATTTCTAATAA